ATGAACTACTCACTATTTTCAACAAATCCAAAGTAAACTTCACCATTGAGCGTGGAAATGATAAGTCCCTACAGTAAAAACTACAATAAAAAAAAATAAAAAAGTGAGTGCACTGAACAATTTAAAATCAGTACAACAAGAGCATTCGTCAACCGCGCCTTCACCCACTCATCATCAACCGTAGTTTTTACGTAGACTGCAGTTTCAAAGCACTGTTCATTGCGGGTGAAGAGAACATCAAGGAAAGGTAGCGATTTATCATTCTCATGCTCAATGGTGAAGTTTAATATATATATTATTATTATTATTGAAACATTTATGAAGCGCTAATTAAACGAATCTCAAAAGCGCTATCTAACAAAAACTGAACTTAACAACATAATTGAAATAACAAACAAAAAATCGTAATGCATCGAGCAGAATTAAGATTAAAATTTGGTCATAAATAGAAAAGTAATCGATTCAATATAACGAAAAGACAAAATAATATTTAGAACATGTCGACTAAACAGAAAGAATTGATTCAATATAACGAAAATACGAAATAATATTTAGAACATGTCGACTAAACAGAAAGAATTGATCAATAATGCATTACAATGAAAATAAATGAGTTTTCAGTTTCTTCTTGAAATCACGCAGGTTTAGGTCCGGATTTCTGAGAGCAGCAGGCAGGTTGTTCCAAACAGTTGGTCCAGAAACAGCAATGTTACGAGAGCCTATACGGAGACTCGTTGTTGGGATCAACAGCAGGTTTGAAACATCGGATCTCAAGTGTGCTCAAGATGCTTTTGAAGATCTCTTTTTGAACCTGTCAGACAAATAAGATGGAGCTAGACCGTTGATAGACTTGTAGACAAGTGTTAAAATTTTGAACAACACTCTTTTGTCGACGGTTAGCCAATGAAGTTCCTTCAATATTGGAGACACATGGTCGTATTTTAGAGCTCCAACAACAACTTTTGCGGCTCGATTCTGTACTGATTGAAGTATAGCCATGGATCGATCAGGTAAATCATAAAACAAACTGTCTCAATAGTCGACGCGTGAGAGCACAAATGCATGAACAAACGTCTGCAACGTGGATGTATCTAGGGATCGTCAAATTTGATTGATTTTCCTGATTTGAAACATGCATTCGGCTGAGAGCTTCTTAATGTGTTGTTTCATTGACAAACCTGAATCAATTATAAAGCCCAGATTAGCTGCTGTCTGACAAAATGGGATGACCTCATCATTAACAGTTATTGAATTTATATCTATTCTTGAAAGTTGCTGCCATGTTCCAATTGGTAAAAAAACAGTCTTGTTTTAGTTTAGTTTTAAACCATTGTTTTGCATTCAATTATTGACCCCAGACAAACATTTAACCAGTTTGTGCAATTCTGATTTAAAAGAATCTGGTCTGCTCGTAACAATAATTTGTAAGTCGTCCGCAAATGCATGACCTGAAAAACCAAATGATTCTATTATCTTTAGTACTTCAGATGTATAGATCAGGAATAGAATAGGACCTAGAACCGAACCTTGTGGCACACCAGACAACATAACATTAACCTCAGACAATTTACCACCGAATGATACCTGTTGTGATCTACCTACCAGATACGACTCAAACCACCTCAGAACAGCACCAGAGATTCCAAAACTGCAACGTAGTCTTGTTAAAAGTACTTTGTGATCTACGCAACCAAATGCGGATGACATATCAAGAAAGACTAGCATTGCCACATTTTGTTCATCAATTGCTCCGTACACTTCTGAGAAAACTTGCAAAAGGGCAGTTTCAGTCGAATGGTACTGACGGAATCCAGATTGAAATTTCGGCATTAAATTGTTATTGTTCAAGTAACTGAGTGTTTGCCTGGCAACCACACGTTTGATAATTTTGGATAGGAAAGACAGATTAGAAATTGGTCTGTAATTCCCAACATCATTTTCATCCAGATTATGTTTCTTCAGCAGCGGAGTTATGATAGGATGCTTGCGGCCGGAGGGAAACTGTCCCACATTCAAACTGCTGTTTATCAGGCCTGCCAAAAATGGTACGAATAGTTTTATAAACTTCTTTAACACGTTGGTAGGTATTACATCTTGTTGACACGACTTTGTAGGTGAATTTTGAACTAACTGTATTACCTCCTCTTCAGAAACCATAGAAAACGTTGAGAACAAACTACTATTGACACCTGATTGGAATTCTGCCAGGCTCGGTATATATATATATATATATATATATATATATATATATATATATATATAAATCCCGGCTTTTATCTTTTAACTCCTAGATCCAACTTTTTATTCACTCAACTACTTTATCATTATCAATGCGTTTATGGGATTCTTTACCTGTAAGTGTAAAAACATCTTATAGTACTTTTAACTCTTCCATTTTAAGCTTATTATGTCTGGTCATTTGATTGTTCGATGAGCAGCACGGTATTGTCCATTATTCGCTTCATCATTTGTTTTATATATTTATATATTTTATTTGTATTTGTCTCGCTTTAGTTTTTCTGCGCTTCCTTGTTTATTTTGATCTGTATTTCTGTTATTTAAATTGTTCCATTCATTGTATGTCTTTCTGAGGATTTTCTGTTGTTTTTAGTTTGCATCATTCATCTCGAGGACCCCCAAAGCATTCATGCGTCATCATTTTTGGCACTTTTATCATTGTTTGGATACCAACAACATATTAATTCGCCAACGCATGTTAAAGGTGGTTTTCTGGATGTCATCATCACCAGATCATATTTCGAGATTTTCAACGTCGAAGTCGACCCTCCGGTCATTTCGGACCAAGCACTTATTTCATGTTCAATGGCTGTCATGGTTTCATCGCCCTCTCAACAACTCTTCAAAAATGTTCGGAGTTACAGGAAAATTAACCGAGATGAATTCAGGGATTAGATTAGAAAAAGTGATCTATGCTGTCCAAATTCATACTCCGGATACGACACAAACACACTTTTCAACTTATATGAATCCACCTTCGGGCAATTCATAGATCAATATGCTCCTATAAAATGTTTTAAAGTCCGCTCAAAATTCAGGAGCTGGTTTGATGATGAATGCTACAAGGTAAAACGTTCTACACGAAGATTTGAGAAGATATATCGTTCAACAAAAAACCCAATCGATCTCAATCGCTGGAAGAGTGCGATAGGTGAAAAACACAAGTTATTCGTCAATAAAGAAAAAAATTTTTACCAATCGATGATTGTTTTAAACTCTCAAAATCTTAGCTATGGAACATCGTGTCTACCTTGCTTGGGAAAAATATTTTTCCTAACTTTTCAGTTTCGTCAATCTCAGCTCAAGATTTCTTGCAACACATCAAATCGAAATCTGAGATATCATTTGAAGGTGGCTGTCTCACGCTAACAACTCAACATCGGTTCTCCTGAAGATTTAAAAAAACTAATTCAATCGTCAAATAGAAAATCATGCAGTCTTGATCCGCTCCCAACATTTCTTCTAAAAGAGCAATTGGACTTGCTTTTGCCATTTTTGTGCCACCTGGTCAACAGCTCCATCCATATGTCAATCATGCCAAGATCTCAGAAAACGGTTATAGTTAGACCTAAATTAAAAAAGTCTGGTCTCACACCTGATGCTGTCAACAACTACAGACCGATATCGAATCTAACATTTATATCAAAGATTGTAGAAAGAATAGTCGCTCGTCAACTTCTTTTATACCTGAACAAAAATTCATTACTGCCAAAAGTTCAATCAGGTTTTCGTCAAGCTCACTCTACAGAAACGGCAATCCTCAAAGTGGTTTCTGATGTATGTGATGCAGTTGACATGGGCAATATAGCCATGCTTGCACTGCTGGATGTTAGTGCTGCCTTCGATACTGTTGATCATGATATTCTGCTAGAAAGACTCTCAGTCTCATATGGTGTAACAGAGGATGCACTTAGCTGGTTTCAGTCCTATCTGACAGATAGAATACAGGTTGTCATTGTTGGGGAAGGTGCAGAAACAGCTACGTCAGAAATTACCTGAGGTGTTCCACAGGGCTCCGTCCTTGGCCCTCTGTTATATATACTATACACTGCCGATGTAGTCAGCGTTGTGGAATCACCAGATGCTCGTTGCTATTTGTACGCTGACGACATTCAACTATACGGATCTGGGTCTGCGAGCTCGTAAATTAAAGCTAAATATCAACAAAACGCAATACATGTGGCTAGGAACACCTCATAAACTCCTTCAGGTTGACGGGTTCAAAAATCCAGTGACAAATCTATGTGTGGTTTTGGATCAAGACCTTTCAAAAAAGGCTCATGTAAATAAACTATGCAAGAAATGTTTTTTCCAGCTTCAAAAACTAAAAGCCATCAGACGACATTTGACAGTTGACTCTACAAAAGCTCTTGTTTGCAGTTTCATTTGTAACAGGATTGATTTTTGTAACGTGATGATGTATGGGATCAACCTTTCGCTACAAGATGATGTTCAATCAGTTTTGAACGCTGCTGCTAGACTGGTTGCTGGCGTATCAAGGTTTGATCCTATCTACCAATTCATTAGAGATAAACTGCACTGGCTTCGCATGCCAGAGAGAGTAAAATTTAAACTAGCTCTACTTGTAAGAGATTGTTTGACTGGAGATGCACCAATCTACCTGAGAGATCAGATTCATTCAGTATCAGAGATTCAATATAGGGGTCGACTACGATTATCAAGCCGCGGTGACCTACACATTCCTAAGTTTATATCTTCTCATTTTAGAAAAAGAAGATTTTCAGTAGCATCTGCCCAGATTTGGAATGCGTTGCCTGCTGATCTAAAGAATTTCAACATCAAAAATCGAAATGAATTCAAAAAACGGCTAAAGACTCATTTTTTCAACATTCAACAGCGAAGAAAGTGGAGAGGGTTTCTGAAGTCAACGCATAAGAGGCGCTATACAAATTCTGCAATACAATACAATACAATACAATATGTATATATATATATATATATATATATATACTTCCGGCAAGATGGCGGCACGTGTTGTTGTGATTAACGAGTTGCTCTATTTCGTAAACAATAATGTCGAATTAATTGATAATGAAACTTTTATAAACAACATATCTGACTTTTACTCAAACGAGGATATCATTACTGCTACTAAATTGTTGAAAAGCGATATTGAAAACTTAAAATTGGACAACAACGACAAATTACAAAAACGCGGGAACACAAAAAAGGACAAATTACTTGAATGTCTCTCGCTTTTTAAATATCTGAAAACTAACAATATGTTGGACAAATGTTCAATATTTGTCAGCTATAATATGGTAAAATTCCAAAGTTAGAAAGTATAGCTAACTTGAATTTTGTTAATTTAAAAAACGAAATTAGAGACATTGTTCACTCTCAACAGGTGCGCTTAAACAATATAATCGAAGCTAATAAAGTGATATTCAAGTCTTAAAAAACAAAACAAGTTTATTGTCAGATATTAATGTTGAAAACAACTGTAAAACTGCCAACTCTGAAAACATTAAACCTACTGTTTTGCCGAATATTCCATTTGCCAACTCTACCGTCCAGCTTGGAAAACCCCTGTGGTCCGATATTTCAAGAACCCCGACCGAAGACTCGTCGTTCACTCTTGTCACCAGAAAAAATAAACGCCCGCGCGCATTAACCAGCGACACTGACAACAACAACATTAAAGCAGATACAAATTCAAACAAACATTCAGCTCCAAAAATTATTGGTAAAAAAGAAGTTGACTGCAAACTAAAAGCCGATAAAGTTCTGTACAACAAACGTGTCTACTCAATAAGTAACATCCAGAAATGTTCAGCCAACGACGTCAGCGAATTTTTATCATCATGCGGGATTAACGTGTTATCATGTTACCCGGTATTTAAAAATACCGAGCCATCAAAAGTTTCCCACACCAATCGTGACAACCAAGATTCATCAATGTTTCGTGTCTGCATTGACAAATTAGATTCTCCAAAAATCAACGATCCAAACATCATACCCAAAAATATAATTGTACGAGAATGGCGTTTCTTGCATAATGAAAAAAAAGGCCAAGCAACAAATAACCAATCATGAATAGAAACACAAGCAACTCTCCATGTACTAACCTGACTGATTCCAGCGATACATCTTCTGATTTAGTTTCTGTCAACCCATCCAATAACAGTATTAATTTTTCAGACATTTTTATCAATAACTTTCAAAATTACACCATAAACAATTTAAACAACCTCATACTTAACAATTTTTTTAAAACTGATAAAAATTTATCTATTATTCATGCCAATAGTCGTAGTTTGTTCAATAAAATGGCAGATTTGTTAATACTAAACGATTCCCTTTCAAATTTTTTTCCACTTATCATAATTTCTGAAACCTGGTTAAATGATGACACTGTTAAATATATTAATATGCTTAATTATAACTTTGTTTTTAAAAACAGATCTAACAAAAAAGGTGGTGGTGTCGGGATTTTCATCAAACAGGGAATCAGCTATTCAGTTAACTGCGAAGCCGTACTGGATAATGACTTTCTTTCCGTCGACATCGCAGTTAATATCCATAAACTTAAGATAATTGCAATCTACAGACCGCCTAATTCCAACCCTGATCTACTACTACGCAAACTTGAAATTATCTTACCTACACTAAAACCTCCCAATAAATCTTATTTAATTGGTGACTTCAATCTCGATCTTAAAAAATTTTTTTTTGATCTTCATGTATCAGCTTTTTTCAACCTTCTATCATCGTACAACTTTTTTCCACTTATAACCTCCGACACACGCATTACGTCTTCCTCTTCATCGTTAATTGACAATATCTACACAAATAATATTACTACTCATTTTTCTGGAACAGTCTTATCTGACTTCTCAGACCATTTTCCTATTTTTACCATCGCATCTAACCTCAATAAACTTAATTATTCTGCACCACAAAAATACTCCAAACTTCTGACTCCAAAATCTTTATATGACATCAACCATTCGTTATCTGCTCAAGACTGGACGTTAGTGATCACGATAGACAATGTTAATGATTCCTTATCACAGCTATATGCCATACTCAATAAAGCGATAAATACATTTGCTCCATTTTTACCTGTTAAACCAAAAAACAAAAGCTGGGTCAACACACATATTAAAAAACTATCCAATAAAAAAAACAAGCTCTTCATTAAAAGCCTCCGTAATCCTACTCCAAACAATATTTCTGAGTACAAAAAATTCCGCAACATGTTTACAACCATTAAAAGAAAAACAGAACGAGAATATTACACAAATAAACTCAGTAATTCTCCCAACGACATCAAGGCCAAATGGAATTTGATAAGATGTGCACTAAACAAAAAACCGCCCAACTCATCCATATCCAAACTCACTGTAAGCAACAAAACAGTTGACAACAAACAGGAGATTTGCGACGGTCTGAACGAACACTTTGCAAACGTTTCAATCAAACATTCTTTCAACCTCCTACCGGGTAAGGCTGACCCCATGAAACTCTTGGGTCCTACTATAACTCAATCCATATTTCTTAACCCTGTATCTGAACGCGAATTACTATCTATTGTCCGTAAAATGAAAAACAAAAACAGTTACTTCGATGATGGCCTTAACATGTACCTAATAAAAAACATAATCCATTCCATAACTTTACCTTTAATCCACATCTTCTATTTATCATTATCAACGGGAATTTTTCCAGATACCTTCAAAATATCCAGAATTATTCCTATCCACAAAAAAGGATCCCTGGACGATATAAATAACTACAGACCCATATCTCTGTTGTCTCCTTTATCCAAGATTCTGGAAAATATAATGTACATAAGATTAAATTCTTTCTTCAATCTCAACAGCATTATATGTAACAGCCAATACGGCTTCCGGGCCAAGCATTCAACGGAGCTTGCTATCCTAGACTTTACCCAACATGTCCTAAACGGTATGAATAGCAAAAACTATCTGTTGGCCTATTTCTGGATCTTTCAAAAGCATTTGATGTAATTGACCACAGCATACTCCTAAAAAAACTTGAGTGGTATGGTGTGAGGGGAATCGCTTTCAATTGGTTGGAGAGCTATCTCTCCTTGCGTTCTCAATATGTTTATATCTATAACTTCAAATCAAATAAAACTCATGTCCAGAATGGAATTCCTCAAGGATCTATACTGGGTCCTTTTCTATTTCTAGTCTACATCAATGACCTCTGTAACGTCTCATCATTAGCCAAATGTGTACAATTTGCCGACGACACGAACATTTTGTTTACACCAGACGACATCAACAGCTGCCGAGACATCATCAACCAAGAACTATCAGGATTTTCCAACTGGTTTCTGGCAAATAAACTACTACTAAATCATTCCAAATGTTCTTATATAGTTTTTGGTCCCAAAATATTAACTAACCAAGTCCAAGATCTAAACTTGCTGCTTAACAACAATCCAATTAATCGTACTCATTCAACTAAATTCCTAGGTATCAATATAACAGATAACCTGCAATCAACTTCCCAAAAGGGCAATAAACTAATTGGAATTTTCTACAAAATAAAATACAAACTTTCTCAGTCTGCTCTACTAAACCTTTACTACGCTTTTATTTATTCCCATCTTACCTACTGCATAACTGTATGGGGAAACAGTCCTAAAAGTCACTTGTACAACATTACGCTCTCTCAAAAACGCTCAATACGTCTTATCTTTAATACTAATCCTTTTGCCCATACTAAACCCTTTTTTGTAAATAACAATATTCTACCATTAAGGTTTATATATTACTATTTCACAGCCATACTTGTTTTCAAATTTATTAATAAACTTCTTCCTACTCCTCTAGACCACAAGCAATTCTATTCTATCTGCCCACACAAGACACACCCAATTCTTTTACACACAAAGAACCCGTATTAAATTATTTTCATCAAGTATTAAACTTACTGGACCAAAAATTTGGGCTGAACTGCTTCCTCCTCAGTTACATGAAATCAAAAGCCTACAACTCTTTAAAAGGAAGCTACGTAACTTTTTAACAAACTTAGATCCCGACACCACCATCTAGTTATCTGGGAAAGCATGTTCATGTAAGCATTGTGTGTGTCTAAGTGTGTGCGAATGTGGTTGCTTGTGTGAGTGTGTGTGAATGAGTGCTGTGCTTGTGTGAGTGTGTGTGAATGAGTGCTGTGCTTGTGTGAGTGTGTGTGAATGAGTGCTGTGCTTGTGTGAGTGTGTGTGAATGAATGCTGTGCTTGTGAGTGTGTGTGAATGAGTGCTGTGCTTGTATGAGTGCGAATATGGTTGCTTGTGTGAGTGTGTGTAAATGAGTGCTGTGCTTGTGTGAGTGTGTGTGAATGAGTGCTGTGCTTGTGTGAGTGTGTGTGAATGAGTGCTGTGCTTGTGTGAGTGTGTGTGAATGAGTTCTGTGCTTGTGTGAGTGTGTGTGAATGAGTGCTGTGCTTGTGTGAGTGTGTGTGTGAATGAACAGGTGTGTGTTTACGTGAGTGTTTTTGTGCGCGTGAATGAGTGTATGTGCTTCTGGCGTGGTATTTCTATAAGATAAGATTCAAAATTTAGAAGTTAGTCAAAGTGTTATTAAATTTTAAACTTCGAAACAAATTTGAAGTATTAGAATTACTGTTTGAAATATCTATAACCTACATTATATTGTGTTTGGGTATATTGAACTTTTTTTTTTAAATTATGTTTTATATTTCGGAACAGTTTTGAAATATTAGAATTACTCTTTATAATATGTTTGGGTACCTTGAATTCTTTTATTTGTTTAAAGCTGCTCATTTATCATTATTACAAATTGACACTGGTGATCAGTACAAGAAGTCCAGATTTCTTTTTCGATTTCCAGATCATTTCATTTCATTGATTTCATTTTTCTGATTTCATTGTTTGATTTGATGAAATAAAAATGTCAAATATAATACCAAAGAAGATGACCAGCCAATAAAGAAACCTGACACCTAATTTTCATCTAAGTTCACTTTGGCAAAGTCAATCTCCATCTGAGTTCAATATTTCTCTATATAAACAGCAGAAAGTACTGATGATGATTCATTCGGAATCGAAATATTGCCTTATTTGCAGCATGAATTCGGAAAATAAGTTTATTTTGAATTTTAATAAACTAAACGTTCACCAAAAAACTTTAGTGAGAAAAATTGAAAAAGCGAACTACAAACATATTGTTATAATACTCGCTGTCGTAACCGATTTACGATGCGACGGATTCAAATCCTCGATTAAATAAAATATTCCAAACAGTTATTAAACTTTATTTACAGAAGAAATCAACTATTATTAGTTATTAAACTTTATTTACAGAAGAAATCAACTAATCGTTTATTTCCAGTAAATTCAAACTAACGCAACAATTAACTTTTAAATCGTTCAAAATCTATCGCTATGACAACGTCAACAAACAAATCAAATATCGCTTTAAATAATTCACCGAATCGCTATTCACAAAATCACGAATTTCACTAATCACGAATATCACTAATCACGAATATCACTAATCACGAATATCACTAATCTCTTGCGACGTGCGCTTATATACTATTCGCAAGCGTCGTTTCTAGATTCTTCCAGATGGTCCGATTCCAGTATACTCTAGAACGTTCCAGTCACTAGAACATTCTAGAATACGCTAGAATCTAGTGCGTTCGGTAGCACAGTTATAGCAATATTAACGCCAAACATTCGGTAGAATTTATAGAATATCGTATATATATATATATATATATATATATATATATATATATATATATATATATATATATATATATATATATATATATATGTATGTATGTATGTATGTATGTATGTGTAGATGATGGTTTTAAACTAAAAATCTGAAGTTAAAAATGTTAAAAAAAAATTGGATGACGATAGTGAAACAATGAAAAGGCAAAACAATATTATGATATTTGGTTTGAAGGAAAATGAGCCATTGAAAGAGTATAAAAAAATCGGTCTCCAGGTTGTTACAACATCTATATGGGGCAACTTCAAATATAGTTGTAAAGTTTTACTTAAAAAGAATGGGGTAAAAAGACGATAAGACGATTCGTCCTATTTTAATTTGTTTTGAAGATATAATGTTTAAAAAGGCGATTATGAAGAATTTGAGCAAAATAAAGTATTTAGATGAGTGCTATCATAGGGAATCAATCAGACATGA